TAGAGTGAGTGACAATTATCCGACAATTTCTGTCTCTCATATACTATACACTGAATACTCAGATAGAGTATTAATAGTCTAAAAATAATAGATAAGGACGGATAGCGCACCAGTAGTTTATTGATGAAAAGAGTATTGGTGCCAAAATTCCCTGCCCATCATAACAAAGACCATTACTGTATCTCTCTCTCTCTCTCTCTCTCTCTCTCTCTCTCTCTCTCATAGATTTTGATTAACAAATTATAAGTATATCTCATATGTCTCTCTCAACACAAACACTACTACACCCATAAGTTTGACCGATAAGTCTCTCCCAAAACCACTTATACGGATAGATATGAGAAAACTTAGTTTTCACCACAAATATAAGCAAATTATTGAATACAATTTGGACACAAATTATTTGCAACAAAAATTATTTTCACAAATTGTATTAATAACAATTTTTTTGCAAAATACTAGTCAACACTTTTTTTCGTAGACAGTAAATAATTATTATTATGATTTCATATGATTTGAAGATATATTTTTTGCTTAAGAAATTAATTTTTTATTGCACCTGTCACTCTCATATCATCTGGCTTATATCTGTTATTTGCTTTACATGTATACAATTATTTTATACAAGTGTACGGTAGTGTGTTTTTTTGTTAATGAAAAAGTTGTAATCTATTTGTTAGTAAAAAATTATCTATTAGCTCACTAAATACTGTAACACATTGGGTCACTAACTTATCAAACCCTGATCACAATCAAAACTTTTTCATCATGGTATACATAATAATGAATTTTGATCAAAATGTGCACCAGTTTTAGGCCCCTAATATACGTATTTTTGAGTGGCCCCTCGACAATAGCCCCGCGATAAGTGTTTAGGACTTTGATATCATTAATTTGTTATTAGATTGAAATTTGTACCGTATTTCGGTTGCAAAACATTTTTTGTGTGTCAAAAAACACCAGAATATACCGTATTTTTCTAATATTTTAGATTTGATTTGATTACCGTATAAGTCAAAAAATGGTTTCCTAGTGTTTTTCATTACTAATGAGATTTTAGATACAGATTTTATTTAAATATTTCAAGTTCTGTAAATACACTACATGTAGATAAAAATTCTCAATGACAAGTTACGTGTAATTTTGCAAAAGTATTTTTCAAAGTACAATAATAGTCTGAATATTTGTCTGGAAATAATTTTTATAACACCTAATATAATACTTTGCATCAACATTTAGACAATAATTTTAAAGTTGTTTTATATGTTTTTGACTATACCTGTAACTATCTAAAATTGTTTAAATACGGTATAACCTAGTAAAAATGTTCATTGAGTGCATATTATTACGTGTATATACAGGATATACTTATCAAGATTAAATAGCTAAATAAATGTTTTGATCAATATTGTATGTAAATGTGGATTATCATGTATAATTCCAGACATTTCA